ACCGCTCTGGTTTCTTTCCACCTGGCTGGGGGGAGGGGCGCTCGGGTCCCACCGGGCCAGGGCTTGTATGTTACCCCCTTCGCAAGGCGCTGGGTTCTTGCAGGTGTGGATGTGGTCTGGATGTTGTCCTGTGTCCTGTGGTCTCTATTTTAGGAAGATTTTTCTTTGTTATATTTTCATAGCTCTATGTCGTTTTGGGAGGAGATTTCCACTGCTCTACTCACGCCACCATCCCGGCTCCATCCCCTCGTCTCCTCTTAGTTTTTTAAAACTAAAGCAGGAAGCACTCAAGAGCTATTAAAAATATTTTTAAAACAACAGTAAAAATCCTCATATCCCCCCTTTCAAATTCGAGATGAAAGGACTTTCAAATGGAAAGCTTTGTTTCACCTTTATATTGCTTTCATTTCACTGTTCTTACCAGTTATCCTGTCTGTCAGTTTTGCATATCTGCAGAATCACACTGCATCTCTTTGGGCCCTCGGACTGGAGCTGGTATGGGTCAGGAGCATATTCTCTGTAAATATCAGAATTTATTAATGCAGTCTTTGACCTTGGATTCCACAGGGCAGAGAGGCTGACTACCAGGGTAGATCTCATCCAGAGCTTCTTTCCTTCTTAGTTCTCCAGGTTCCTGGGCTTACCCAGGGGGGGCGCTGCAGAGGAGACACAGTGGTAGCTGCCAGGCACACCCCAGAGGCCCAGGTGAGCTGCAGCCCCTCTCCCTTCCCAGGCCCCCATCACTCTTTCCTTCTGTTGGGCTTCCCATAGATCCCTTTGTCCCCACTCTTCCTACATCCTCATCGTACGTAGATCCACATGGAGTTTGGGTTTTCTCATCTATCCCAAGGTTGCTGGTCATTGGCTTCCTTTATTTGGTGTCCACTTAAGAGGATTTTCCTGTTTTACTCCTAGTTGGGGTGGGGGTGGGCGGAGCTGTCTATGATTCCCTGATCTGCCTTATCTCATCTGTTTGGTCCACTCCCTTAACAATGGGACTTTTGTCTTCAACAAGGGCAATTCAGCAACCACAAACTGAAGATTCCATTGTGATGGTGGTTGAGTTTTGTTTTTATAACATCACAAACTGTGCTATTAGTGAGAGATATAAATACATGGCCTCTGCTCTCTAGGAACTTAAACGTGAAGAAATAGCTCAGGTGTGTCCTTTTATTCTAAGGTTAATATTACAATCTGAACAATCTTCACTTAAGGATTTTAATTTCTTACCCACACTTTCACATCCTACTTGAAGAGCTTGGTGTTTGAGGCTCTGTAGTATCTATGTTTTCTGTGGTTTTTCTCACCTAGATTTAGATATCATTGTATTAAAAAAATCATTAAGATAAATGAGCCTACCTCTACTTTGCCAAAGCACCCCACAGTATTTTGAAAGGTGTGTGTATGGTTCCGCTCACTTCACTGCACTACTCCTTGTTTTCTAAACCTTTTCACTTCTGGACTATTTAGATACTTATATGAAAGTGTTTATCCTAATGTGCATAATATTTCTCTTCTTTAGTGGTTATATTTTGGAAAAAAATGTTATTAGAGGTAGGTGTAAATGTGCCACATTGCTCTTTCTTAAGAGCCCCTTTAAAGGGGATGTTCATTCTTTGCAGGTGCCCAGCTTTTGGAGTGATTTTGAGTAAGGGGGACTAGGTGGAATTACTTATTGTTCCAGGGGTTGATGAAAGTGGAAGATGTGGCCCTGGCCCTCACTTCTGGATGGACACAGCTGGATTCATCTCGGGTGAACTTCTGCAGAGATGAAAGGCAGGACCTCCATGGCAGCCTGATCTCCCTGGGTAAGACCGACGGGCCCTGACTTCTCATTGGGTTTCTTGGCTTCCCTTGTGTATTAGAACTTACTGGGCTGGTAGAAGCTGCTTGAATAATGTTTAGATTCAGAAACACCTTTCTGAACCCCAACCACTAACCAGCTGTGTGACTAGTTCCATCACCCTTCTGACCTTGGCTTTTCTCTGCCCTGCCAGTCTTTCCGTCAGGCTAAGTGGGGTGAAGCAGGTATAGCACTCAATACCAGTCTGGCTTGTAGCAGAAGCTCCGGATGTGTTGATTCCCTTCCTGGTGTAGTCCTGCCCAAGGGGAAGAGCTGAAGGGTCTCCAGGAAATGGTCCATTGGTCTGCAGAGTGTGAGAGCTGGAGATTGAGGACAGAGCCTGACCTTCAGAGGAGGGTGCAGAGGCACACAGCATGCCTGACTGGCCAAGTTCATATCGTTCATTGGTGGCCCATGAGGAGCTTCAGCTTAGATTTCCCTGCACTGAAGCGAATCTCATTTGTGGGGCCCTGCCTGTGCCTGGGGCACAGTCAGACATGACTGCACTTTCCATTGGTCAATGACTAATTTCCAAGTCCCGCCTTCTCTGTTCCTTACAGAACACTTGAGAAATCCTTTCATTTGCCTTACTTACTGTTGACTTTAGCTCAGCCCTTTTGGTGTCTAATCCTAGGTGTGTGGCACTGCCTTCCTATCCTTAGAACCTAGAGCCTCTGCCTGTAAGACCAGTGCAGTCCTCACCTCCTGTCCTCCATTCTGTCTATACCCTTCTTCCAATGGCCCTGTTGCCATTCCCAGGTCTCCCTCCCCAGCACCTCTGTTCTCCCCCTTTATTCCCATCTTTTTTTTTGTGCCTAAATCATCTGTGGCATATACAGGTAGACCCTATGCCCTTGCCTCCCTGGGACTCATCACAGAGCTTTCCCCCATGGCAGGCATGATTGACATGTGCTGTCCACTTGTTATTTCAGGTGGTGAAATACAGACCGAGATCAGGGAGTTACATCCAGGTGAGGAACATCCAGTACGAGAGTCTGGGGAAATACTGTGCCACTTGGGTGAAGACATTGCCCGGATTCCTACACGTGCAGAAGCTGGTGAACAGGAGGGTGGGTTACAAAGAAAGCGGAAAAATGACACTGGGAGGAGACGGCACATTTGCCATGAATGTGGAAAGAGTTTTGCTCAGAGTTCAGGGCTGACTAAACACAGGAGAATCCACACTGGGGAGAAACCCTATGAATGTGAGGATTGTGGCAAGACCTTCATTGGGAGCTCTGCCCTCATCATTCATCAGAGAGTCCACACTGGTGAGAAACCATATGAGTGTGAAGAATGTGGGAAGGTCTTCAGTCATAGTTCAAACTTGATCAAACATCAGAGGACTCACACTGGGGAGAAGCCCTATGAGTGTGACGACTGTGGGAAGACCTTTAGCCAGAGCTGCAGCCTCCTTGAACATCACAAAATCCACACTGGGGAGAAGCCATACCACTGCAACATGTGTGGGAAAGCTTTTAGGCGGAGTTCACATCTCCTGAGACATCAGAGGATCCATGGTGATAAAAATGTTCAGAATCCTGAACCTGGAGAGACCTGGGAGAGTCAGGGTAGGATGGAAGGCCAGTGGGAAAATGTTGAGGTTCCTCTGAAGTATAAATGCAGCGAATGTGAGAAAAGTTTCACTGGGAATAGAAGCCTTATAGAACATCAAAAAATCCACACTGGTGAGAAACCCTTCCAATGTGATGCATGTGGAAAAGGCTTCACCCGAACTTCATACCTTGTTCAACATCAGAGAAGCCACGTTGGGAAAAAAATTCTGACACAGTGACCCAAGTCACACATGCCACAGTTGCTGCTCATTCCTCATTGAACTGAAGCCACCCTGGAGCCCATCCTGACTGCTTAAACTGTGGGCTGGGGCTTCATTTACAACTACTAGTCATCAGGAGTTTGTTAGAAGATACAGAATCTGAGATGAATTATCTTCTGCATTCTAGAAGGTGATGGGCAAAAAACTTGTTTGATAGGAGAACTACATGAGTGTTGACTGCAAGATACAGGACCTGAAAGGGTTTTTTCTCACCTATTGGACTTAAACAGGCTACCAGACAGGCTAATTACCCTCAACAGGCCCTTGATGATGTCTCCTGGGCAACTGGCTGTGATTTGGGGCCTGCTGCTCTGGCCATTTATTTGGCCTTCACCAGTTGGTCAGATCATGATGTCTTATACTCCCCATTGTGCCTTGCATACAGGTGCTGTGATTATTTATTAAATAGATCAGTGAAATGACCTTCATAGCTCTGAAAATTTTATTTTTGAGGACATTCTAACTAAGGTCATTTCTGTTTGTGTCTAATTCTCTGAAGTTCTACATTCTGGGTCAATCTACTGTATTTATTGATAAGTACATAGGATTTTTCAGTGTTGGTGTGGGGGAAATCCATATTTCTTCACCAGCATAGTACTTCTAGAAAGAATGCCTTAAACAGCTAATTTATCATTAGGATATTGTGGGACTGCTCTATCCATAGAACTTCACTCTTCAGTCAACATTGATTATTTTAGTTCACATTAATTTTGCTGCTCTTTAGGGGAATCCTTCCACACTCAGGTAAAGAAAAATAAACTTATCAAGTCAGATCAGGATGCTTATGAATTTTATTATAATTCTGTGATGCTCAGCAGCTTGCTTCTCACCTTTAAGTTATCTTGGACCTAACCAAGTGCCAAGACAGCATCTGTATTCCTGTCTCCCAAATTAGAACCAACTTGCATCAATACTTAATGCCACCTACACTTAAATTTCCTCTGGGTCAGAGGATTCACAGCAAATACCTAAAACAAGTTTGATTCATGTTTTCAAAACTGCTTTGTTGATTGGGGATAGGAAGGTAGGGTCAAGGTAGCTAGTGAGGTTAAGAACCCAAGTATTGGCAGTAGTAGAAAATGTATCTGTTCAGAAAATGCATTTGTGTCTGCACTTCAGGAATCATATGTATTTGAGACAAAGGATTCCACTGTATCCATATTATCAACATGTGAAATCAAGACTAAACTGTCAGTAGTCTTATTGTGATTCTAATCACAGTAAGAATTTTGTTGTGTCTCCTGTTTTCACCCAAATCACCTCCTATTGAGTACTTCAAAGACCAGTATCTTCTTCACCAGTGCCTGAATGCCTATCACCAGCTTCCAGCTTCACCAGGCTGTGCCAAGGATGGATTGTGCTTCCGATGAAATCTCTGACCATGTTGTTAGTTACCAGCATAGTCTGTTCTCAAGTACCCTTTCTGGATTCCTCTGAACTACCACAGGCTTACTAGGGACTTTGCAAACTGCAGGGCTCTCCCTTTATCACTTCCCTATAATCTGTCATAGCCTTCATTATCTGATGTAGTCTAATTTAAAACTGTCTTTACAAGATTCTGTAGATTTTCTCCACTTAATATTTTCTAGCCTTAAAAATTTCCTTTTAATCTTACTTTCGTTTGCTTGCACAAAGCTAGCCATTAACTTTTATTTTTCCTGAATGTTTGCTAATAGCCTTGTTCTTAGATGCAGCTCATTTTATTTATTTCATGTGAAGAAATGTTATGTGAAAGCCTTTCACAAACAAGAAAACACTGTAAATGAATGAGATTAACAAAGGACCACTGTGCCTCCTTTCATTCTTTCTGCTCCTTCTCAGACTAGTAAGACTTCTCTGCAGAGGAAGGAAATATTGTAGAATAATACTTTGAGTGCCTGGTAATGAAAGGGATAAAGCACATACATACATACACACATGGGCTTAGGCTTTCACTATGATGAACTTGGTAAGACTTGCACATAGGCAGTGCCATGACAAACGTCTTGTGAGTGATAAACTGAAGGCTGTGGAAGTTCAGAGGAAGGAAAGGTTACTTCAGGTTGTATACTGATCACATGGACAGGGTGACATGCTAGCTGAAAAGACTTAACAGTTTGTCAAATTTAATAAGGCAAGTTTGAGGAGGTAGGTACATTGTAGGAGACTTCAGTGGAGAGCAAGTTTATATTTCATTAAGTTGCAAGGAGCCACTGACATCAACATTATCTAGGAAACACAGTATTGTGTAATTGCAAATAAAAAAATCTTTAGACATCTCTTGTATAAAGCAAAGGTGTGTTTATAAGCAGATAATAAATAAATGACTTATAGGATGGTCTTTTTAATTCATTTTATTATCATTAATCTACAATTACAAGAAGAACATTATGGTTACTAGACTCCTCCCTTCACCAAGTTCCCCCCACCACAAACCCCATTACAGTCACTGTCCATCAGCAAAGTAAGATGCTGTAGACTCACTACTTGTCTTCTCTGTCTTGCACATTACTCCATATGCCCCCTCCACATTATACATGCTAATCGTAAGGCCCACTTTCTTTTTCCATGCTCTTATACCTCCCTTCCCACCCCTCCTTTCCCTTTGGTAACCATTAGTCCATTCTTGGGTTCTGTGGTTCTGCTGCTGTTTTGTTCCTTCAGTTTTTCTTTGTTCTTACACTCCACATATGAGTGAAATCATTTGGTACTTGTCTTTCTCTGCCTGGCTTATTTCACTGAGCATAATACCCTCCAGCTCCATCTGTGTTGTTGCAAATGGTAGGATTTGTTTTTTTCTTATGGCTGAATAATATTCTATTGTGTACATTTTTTTTTGTCAGAGAAAGTCTTTATTTCATGTTAATTAAGAGAAACTTTTTTGTTTGACATAATTGCAGATTCATGAGATGTAAGATCTGTTACCCAGTGGTAACATCTTGCATAACTATAGTACAGTATCACCAGTATCTATTCTGTATATTTACCACATCTTTATCCATTCATCTACAGATGGACACTTAGACTGCTTCCATTTCTTGGCTACCACAAATAGTGCTCCAATAAGCGTGGGGGTGCATATATCTTTTTCTAGCTGGGATCCTATATTAGGGTAAATTCCTAGGAGTGAATTCCTGGGTCAAATGATATTTCTATTTTTAGTTTTTTGAGTGTCAGTTCCTCCCTGCTTCTGACCCACAGATAAGGGAGGATACACAATGAGATATCGAAGATCTGAAAGGACCAGCCAGGGGCCTCAAGGCTTAACAGCACAAGAGTGGTGCTGAGAGGGCACCCCTCATTTATTGAGGAAATAAATGTTAATAATGATAGAATTTTGCATGGGAGACTTAATACACAATCATTAACTAACTCTAAGCTTTATTTTCAGCAGTCTCCAGTCTCCTGGGGTGCAACATTCTCAAAAATACTAAAACAATGTGAGGGCAGTCACATCACAGAAGTTGTTTTGGTCTTGATTGTTCTGTTCTTTATCACACATCAAGAATTACAAGAAAAATAATCAAGTCATATATGATTATACAGTTGGTTTCTATACTTGTGATTATACATTTGGTTTATATATTAATCCCACATTGAGGAACCTCCATACTGCTTTCCATAATGGTTGAACTAGTTTACATTCCCACCAGCAGGTTAGGAGGGGTCCCCTTTCTCCACTTCCTCGCGAGCATTTGTTGTTCCTATTCTTTCCTATTTTGGCCATCCTAACTGGCATGAGGGGATATCTCCTTGTGGTTTTAATTTGCATTTCCCTGATAATTGGCAATGTGGAGCATCTTTTCATGTACCTGAATTACTTTTTGGAGAACCATCTGTTCATATCCTCTGCCCATTTTTTAATAGGATTATTTGCTTTTTGGGTGTTGAGGTGTGTGAGTTTTTATATATTTTGGATGTTAACCCCTTGTTGGATATGTCATTTACAAATATATTTGCCCACATTGTAGGATGCCTTTTTGTTCTGCTGATGGTGTCCTTTGCTATACAGAAGATTTTTAGCATGATGTAGTCCTATTTGTTCATTTTTTATTTTGTTTCCCTTGCCTGAGTAAATGTGTTCACGAAAAAGTTGGTCATGTTTATATTCAAGATTTTTTTGCCTACATTTTCTTCTAAGAGTTTTATGGTTTCATGACTTAGATTCAGGTCTTTGATCCATTTTGAGTTTACTTTTGTTTATGGGGTTAGACAATGATCCAGTTTTATTCTCATACATGTAGCTATCCAGTTTTGCAACACCAGCTGTTGAAGAGGCTGTCATTTCTCCATAGTATGTCCATGGCTCCTCCATCATATATTAATTGACCATATATGGTTGGGTTTATATCAGGGCTCTCTGGTCTGTTCCATTGATCTATGGGTCTGTTCCTGTGACAGTACCAAATTGTCTTGATTACTGTGGCTTTGGGGTAGAGCTTGAAGTTGAGGAGCATAATTCCCCCTGCTTTATTCTTCTTTCTCAGAATGGCTTTGGCTACTCAGGGTCTTTTGTGGTTCCATATGAATTTTAGAACGATTTTCTCTACTTCGTTGAAGAATGCTGTTGGTATTTTGATAGGGATTTCATTGAATCTATAGATTGCTTTAGGCAGGATGGCCATTTTGACAATATTAATTCTTCCTATCCACGAGCACGGGATGTGTTTCCATTTATTGGTATCTACTTTAATTTCTCTCATGAGTGTCTTATAGTTTTCAGAGTTTAGGTCTTTCCCTTCCTTGGTTAGGTTTATTCCTCAGTATTTTATTCTTTCTGATGCAACTGTGAATGCAGTTGTCCTGATTTCTCTTTCTGCTAGTTCATTGTTAGTCTATAGGAATGCCACAGATTTCTGAATATTAATTTTGTATCCTGTAACTTTGCTGAATTCAGATATGAGTTCTAGTAGTTTTGGAGTGGATTCTTCAGGGTTTTTTTTATGTACAATATCATCTCATCTGCAAACAGGGACAGTTGAACTTCTTTCTTGCCAATATGAATGCCTATTGTTTCTTTGTGTTGTCTGCCATGGCCAAACCCTTATATACATATTTATTTTATTTTACTTTATTTATTTATTTATTTGTTTGTTTGTTATTTTATTCATTTTGTTATCATTAATCTACAATTACATGAAGAACATTATGTTTACTAGACTCCCTCCCCCACATTACACATGCTAATTGTAAGGCCCCTTCTTTTTCCCCACCCTTATCACTCCCTTCCCACCTATCCTCCCCAGTCCCTTTCCCTTTGGTAACTGTTAGTCCATTCTTGGGTTCTGTGATTCTGCTACTGTTTTGTTCCTTCAGTTTTCCTTTGTTCTTATAATCTACATATGAGTGAAATCATTTGGTACTTGCCTTTCTCTGCCTGGCTTATTTCACTGAGCATAATACCCTCTAGCTCCATCCATGTTGTTGCAAATAGTAGGATTTGT